CATTTCCTGTCAAAGGTAGGTGTGGAACATAGACGAACGACCAGCTACTCGCCGGAAGCCAATGGTAAAACTGAACGAGTAAACCGTACCATTAAAGAAATCCTGACACGATTGCTCAACAACGAACCACACAGATGGGAAGAGAAGTTGGGTAGCGCATTAATGGCCTACTGCAACTCTGTGAGTACAGTAACTGGCTATACTCCATATTTTCTGATGTATGGACGCCGTGCCCGATTACCACTCACCAAGTTGCTTACGCCTTCACCAGCAACACACCCGCTGAATGGTCGACTACAGGATATGACTGAAGCCCTACAGACAGCTAAAATCAACCTAGAAAACTCCCGAAAGTACAACAGGGCGCGACTGAATGCCTGAGGGAATGCGGAGCAACTTCAGATCGGCGACACGGTAATATTAAAGGCACAAGAGCGCCTTACCTTCACTAGCAGTTGGGATCCACAATATGAGGTAATCAATAGGCGAGGCAAGGTCTATACCATTCGTCATCAGCAGACTGGGAAAGTTTTGACAGTAAACAGAAATAAATTGTGTTTAGTAGACCCCAATATATCTTGGGATGACGTAAAACGCAGACCCAGAAGACCACCACCGGCGCGCCCTCCACTGATCCCATTTGTCATCCAGGATCAAAGAGAACCGCAAGAAGAACAAAAGGAAGGGCCACTACATAACACCGTACCCGAGCCAAGTAGCGGCACTCCTGCCGCAGACACAGAGGGAGACACATCTGAACTAGAGTGGGAGAAATAACCAGGTACTCGTACATCGAATTAACAAGCTCATCTCGGTACTCAAACACACTGTGGACACCATTAACATCGGACGAAGACGTCTCAATGACATCTCCCAACTACCTGAATGCGGTCGTCACCAACAGCTTTAGAGACTTAAACCGATTTGCTTACGTCACCAGGGTTCGTTTGAATAAGGTGTGGGCTACCTACCAGCTGGATCGAGCCGTCTACTCTTTCGAACAGCTTGTAAGGGACTACAGACTACTTTTTGAAAAGTTCAATCATCAAAAGGCTAGTCTGGAGTTGGGACGCCTGACAGAAGAACTCCTGCCACCGTCTCAACTGTTGGAAACACTTGCACTGGCAGCGGACAATGCAACAGGCTACTTTTTGAAAAGTTCAATCATCAAAAGGCTAGTCTGGAGTTGGGACGCCTGACAGAAGAACTCCTGCCACCGTCTCAACTGTTGGAAACACTTGCACTGGCAGCGGACAATGCAACAGACATGTTGATAGACCTGCTACAGTGGTATTATGAACACATCACGGTCTCCCCGGTGTGGGGAGGGAACACCTTAATCTATAAGGTCAAACTACCGTTGATCAGCCAGGAGGAAGCAACCAGATACGATATCCAGTCCTTCAAGCAGCCGTACAACAACACAGGGTTCGCTAGCCGAGTTGTACATGGTGAAGCCAATATCGCTATAGTAGAGCAAACCGGAAATGTGTTTTACCCGTCTGGCTGCATTGGCTGGAAACCTTTGGTATGTAGGACCGGCGCCGTCTACAGCCGAGGTACAGAATTATGTTCCAGAGCCATCATCTCGCACAACCATGCGCAGCGGAGTGCATGTAAGGTGGAGCTGACCTCTGGGAGTGGCATTTCCACTGCCACAGAAATAGTCTTGGGCGAATACGTATTGGTAACCTGGGGAGAAGAGGTGACGAAGCGATGCCACCGTTCCCGACCGGTCTCATACCCGCTCAAGGCAGGAACCTATCTTGTGACGGTCCCGGCAAAATGTTCCATAACAGGAAGTAACTTTACCCTTCCTGGTATAACAGAGAAAGCAGGTCGAGTCTCACTCAGATCTCAACTGATAAACGACATTCCATCCCTCAATGTGCACGAATTGATACCATCAGGAATTGTCACAAAAAGATTGAGAAATCCAAATTTTCAAAATCTTGGGCCAGTTGCGCACCTTCACCTAGCGCCACTGAGTGAGCAGGAACCGGACTTTTGGTCTGCACCGACCAGCGGAACTTCTGTTGGGTATGTTGCGGGGATTGTCATAGCATGCATGATAATTCTAATTGTTCTTTGTGTCTGTTTGCATCGTCACCGCAAACGACTTTGTTTTTGTGCCCCCCGATACAACCGACCAGAACCACCAGAACCAGTGCAACTGAGAATGCTGGCAGAAACGGTACATCAATATGAAGAACCCATGGACGTTGACCAACCGACACCTGGAACATCACGTGGATCAGCAGAGCGCCCTAATACCCTGGAAATTCCGCCACCGCCAGAGTGTCTAGATGGAGAGGATGGAGCCCAACCCCACTCCCCGAATGGGTATCTCACTATGAGGCAAACTGAAGAACAACCATATTTCAACGCAAGAAACAATACGACAGTTCTCTATAGTGTCCCACCGGCCAAACAGTCGCGGTATTATGTCCAGAAAACATGGACACGAAATGATGCATGAATATGGAATGAATGACGCATTTTGCATAATTTAATGCATGTGACTCGTTATAGCTAATCAGCTATTTGATTTTTGACCTCGCTGAAGTACAATGCTAAAAGTTTGTATGTCACTAACCACGCGCGCACTACAAGATCACGCAAGCTGGAAGCCTTTATTGTCAAACATGACACATGCAAAATTGTCTAATTTCTGGCCTAAAGTTTCAAAAGACCCGTGGAACCCCTGCCAGAAAGTAGTGGTGTTGCTTCAACTGAATTATCCTCAGGCCTCAGTTATGAAAAAAAAAAAAAATGCAAGCGTGAATTCAAAACGCAGTGGATAAAAGAATTCCCCGGAATTACGTGGACTGAAGAAAAAGGGATGGAAAAAGCAATTGTTGCGACTTCTGATGTCAAGTTTGCCCGAAGGGCCAGAAAAAAAAGTAAGTGTCAAGCCCTGCTAATAAATAAGACATACAAACTTTACAGAGATGCCTGTAATCACGCGTTAGGAGGTGTTTTGGTTCAGATGGACAAACGAGGGAAAGATAGAGCTGTTCAGTATGTTAGCCACAAATTATCACCCAGTCAAAAAAGGTACTCTACCATCGAGAAAGAAGAAAACACTGTTATGTACGTTATACTTGTAATGCCTATATTGATCATCCCTGTACGTAGCTTTTAAAAACGGTGTACCGCACTATAAGTTTTTGTCATGGTATTGTATTGTGCTACATATTATACTTGTAATGCCTTTATTGATAATTTATCCCTGTATGTAATGTTCTGCTTGCTAGATATTTATTATGTAATCATAAGCATAGAGCGATGATAATAAACTACTACTACTACTACAATGTCAACAAATTGAAACCGTATTTGACCATTTACATCAATCATAAGCCCTTCTTCTAAACTGCAAAATGCAAGGTTGCAACGATGGGCGGCAATTTTAGCTAAATATAATCCTAAAATAGAATATATAAAAGGCACGAAAAACATGTTTGCGGATTTTCTTAACAGACTCCCATCAGAGCGCGAGGAAATGAGCGTCACTGGTACAGAAGAAGATCGAGTTGATTCCAAGGTCATTTCCAGATAGCATAGCTTTACATAATATCCCAGTAGAAGCTGATGGTTAAAATGTTGATGACATACAACAACATCAAATCGTGGAATTTCCGGCAGAGAAAGCTTAAGCTCAAAACAAGAACTCAGATTACCAAATTCTTCAAGTGATTCTTTACTCGGTCAGATTTACTGCAACCCAAACAGTTTAGAAACAATATAATTTGCCCACTGTTACAAAAATGTTGAACACATGTCTGTGTATAAGACACTGCAGAGTCGGGGAATGTTATGTTTGGAAAGGGTAAAAAGTACAGTACTAGAATCATACATACATAAACTTGAAAAAAAAAATCAGCTGTTTGAATGATTTGATTATGTTTGATTAATTTTTGAAGAAATATAAGTAGACTGGAATATTGCTCCCTGGATAGGACTGCACTATAGATTACATACAAAATAATATTATATACCTGAATAACACAGGGACTAGAACCTTTTATCTACGTAAATACAGGGACCTTAAGTTAACATGTGAGAACATTCTCCATAGTTTCAAACATAAGCAATTGAGTAGATTATTCCAAAAATATTTATATGATTATTATGAGAAAATAATATTAAAGATGCATTTCAATGTTAGTCTGACATTGTTATCTAGTTTGCATGGACCTTGCAACTTATTGCTCATGATAAACATTTTGTCACCATTTACTATAATAATCTATGAATATTACCAACTGAAAACTAGGAACTTGGTGTGATGAAATTTTATCATCACAGAAATATATAAATATAATTTTTAATATTATTACAGAAATATACCTTATCAAATGTACGGAAGTAAGAAGCAGCACCTTTATAAATTGCATAAAAATTGCAAAAGTATTAAGCTAAACCTACATATTATAGTACCAGTTATCTGCAGTACTTTCTATACTAAAGAGGCTAACGAGGATTGAATATAAGCAATGCAGCTGTACCAGTACGTTTTGAGAGATAGGCAATTTAAAAGCCTGGATAATACATAAACGTAACTTTCTCATTGCTTTTGAATGGGATTTGCCCTTTTTTTTACTTGGGTCAGCCTCTTGTTATAGTTTTCTTTAAAGGTACATACGAACCGAGCATCGGTGGAGTGTGGATTCCGAGTAACACATGTAAACCACTTCTACTAGATTCTTATATGACTCAAATAAATTAGACATGCCAAGGGATAAACTGAATAGATCACTCGATCAGCCATAAAAGACCTTGAGACTGCTCCTTTCTTTAAATTTATGGTTGTAAATTTAACCTACTTCCGTGACCTACTTTCCTGCCCCATTGACATACAGCTTAGAATGCCAGCAGAAAAATCTGTTCAAACATCATTTTCGGGTAAAACTAAACAATGCCTTTTGGTAATTCTCTTAGTTATACTACTTGAAACTATTTGCTGGCATTTGGTTGGTTTTTGTGACAAAAAATTGACTTTGTATGCATCTTTAAGTATTCAAAAGAGATATTGATAAAATATCACAAAGACGGCAAAATTATTTTAGTTTTAGGTAACACCCATTCATGCAATACTTGTTCAAAATTTTCAAATACCTTAATTTTCCTTAATTAATACTTGACTTTCTCACAAGAATAAGCACTTTCAGATAATTACCAAAATATGTTAATTATTCAAAGTAATGGGACTGACTTTTGAAAGAAACACTACCAAATTACTTTTGGGAAAAAAATCATTAATCTTATTATTGTTAAGTAAATACTAAAGATGGACACAATCCACAACTTCAAATTTTGTCAACATCACCTCCTTTTTAAAAAATCAACACAGTTGCGATACCACTCTTGTGGAAGGTTATTTTTTCATCAGTTTCAGGTTCTCACAGCTCCACCAGACGCTGACAAATACCGTCCCAGGACCAAATGGCCTCAGCAACTGCCCTAATTTTCTCTGAGACGGACAATTTTTTCTTCCCCTCATCTGTGGCTGGATACAAGTGAGCGAGGGCTTTCATAACCTTTGGCTTGAATGCCTGAAATAAATGAACAAATAAATGAGAACAAAGTCAAAGGGGGCGTGAAGAGTTTATATCTAAATTGTTTTATTTGTTGAGCAAGATTATCACCTTCAGAAGTTCTGGTTCATTTTTTAAGATAAGTATTTAATTAAGAAACTTTAAATTAAATCTCTTTATGCTGATTCTTTAGAGATAAGTTTCTAACAGAAAAAATATATTTTGCTGAAAAATGGACATTTTTTTTTTTTGTTTGTTTTTTTTTTTGAAAAATTAATAATGATAAATTAAGTTTTTGATAATGAACATAGAGTACCTAAGAAGGTATGCATGGGTGTGGGTGGATGTACGTGTAATTTAAAAACCATCAGAGTTTTTTTACCTCCATAAAACTTGCTCCCGCTGCTACACCAAAGTCGCCTCCACTTTCTACCTCCAGATGCATAAGAGCTTCCAGCTCGGGTTCCTTCTCCTTGGTCTGGTCAAGTACGTCAATTAACCCTGGAATGATTTCAAACATGACAATGGATAGAACATTTTGGAATAACTTTCACTTCAAGTAATAAGTCAATTCCTTAAGCATTTGCTGGGAAGTGGCATGCAATCTATAAACAGTAGAAATCTGAAACTCTAGAGACGCATCTTTTTGGGCAGTTTTAGTAAACAAACAACTAGCGCCACCTACTGTCTAGAGTCCTTACCTGAGTGGTACACACAGAGAGGCAAGACTCCAGCAGACATGGCTTCCACTGCCACCATTCCAAACGCTTCACTGGCCTTGGAGGCAACCACACCAATAGAGGCCAGTGGCAGGATCAGACCGAGTTCACTGTGGTTCAGGCATCCGGTCACGATGATACGACTGGCTTCAGATGGTTCTGAAATGATAGATAACAGTAAAAAATATCATTATAATTACATGGTAATTACTCAATAAGTTTGAACAAGCCCAGTAAGCAAAGTATATGGGCACAACATTGACTTTTTTGCTGCTACAGATTGGGCTAACAAAGTTCAACACTATAGGCAATTTAAAATATAGATAAATGCACAGATAAATGAATAAATATAGATAAAAAAGAATACACAAAATAATTAAATATATCTCTCAAATGCAATAGGCAATATTTTATTGTATGTTTTCTTTTTCTTTTTTTTCTTTTGACAAGTATAGATTTAGAAGAACATGTTGTTAGTGAGACTACAACATGGTGACACCTTAAGTTTAAGTACCTACCAAGTTTTCTGAAGTATTTGTCAATATCTATATTAGAATCCAGGAATGTTTTTCCATTCTCATCCTTACTGTGAGCTGCAGCCTTGAACAAAGTGATGTCACCTGGAATTTACATAATATCATACATATGTATTTACTCGAATCTTTATTTTCAATTATTTTTCTATTATTTTTTGCAATTTTACTTTAGGACATATATTGGATCATAGCTGCAGCCTAGTAGGGCATGAAGGCTTGCATATAAATGTGATAAATAAATTTATAAAAACAATAAACAAAATAAATAAAACAAACAAAGAAATAAATAAGTAGTGTTACCTGTAGTCAGACCATGGATCATGGCCTCCAGATGTTCCCTGAAAGTTCCAAAACCAATCAACAGCAGACGAGCTTTTGGCACTGCTTTCACTATAGCAGGAAAAGAGAGGAGAATCTCCCCAACTCCTTTTGTATTGAGAAACTTTCCAAAATATGTGATCACAGGCTCATCAGCTGCAAATTTCGGCAACCGTGTTGGAAGATCTGCATCAACTACTCTCTGGTTATAGGACTTTCCCAGGTCGACAAGCTTTTGATGGATGTTTTCTGAAGAGTTGGAGATTTTTGGAAATTGGATGTCTGCTGCGCGACGCCCGTTCCCTTCTTTTGCAATATGTTTTCCTATTACTTCCAGAAATGCGGTAATATTGCTGTCAATGCTTTTACACAGGGAGAAAACGGTTGGATCCATTCCAGGTGGCACAATGACTAGCTTCTTCTCAAGGTCAAGGTCATCTTTTTCCTGAGCAAAAGATCCCATTACCTGCAAGGATGGACACCCTTTTTTAGGAGAACAGAACAGTTTGGGAAAAGAGAGGGGGTGGGAGAGATTAAAAAAAAAAAAAAAAAAAACAGGTAATCATTTCTAAATAGAATTGACATATTATTTACCAATGAGGCACAGCACTTGACCCCTCATCAGGAGCTCCAGGAGAAATAATAATTATCATTATTAAAGAAAAAAAATAACCTACTTACAGTTGGCATGGTTTTATATACACATATAAGGAAAAAATTTAATTTTTAGGAAAGCTGGAGGAAGAGCACGAAAAAAGTGGGGGGGGGGGGGACAGCAGAGAGGACAGGAGTAGCATGGGGGGGAGAGCTGGGGGCACAAACAGCAGGTTTTTTTTGTTTGTTTGCTAAATGTTTGTAAATTCCAGTTTGACAGATGATAAGGGCACTGTTTGGGGGGGTATTGTACAATATTTCTCAGGTAGGAGACAACAGAAAATTCTAAAACCCACTTACCTGGGACACAGTATGGCGTGTTCCTGCGATGATCCTGTTACACTTTTTGATGGCTTCAATGGCATATTTCTTATACTGTGGGTGTGGATCGACGACAAAAATGAGGGCACTGCCGTGGATCTTTATATCAAAAGGAATGCCCGTTCCTTCTAAAGCTCTCTTTGCATTGACAGGGGACAGCAGAGCATGGTTTGTCAGCACCTAAAAAGAAGATGATGACAGTTTGATAACACAAGTGTGAGGCAATGACAATTAGTAGTAGAGAGGTATTCAGAGAGTGTACCGTAGGTCTTCGCTAAGACAAATAATTCACTAACTTTTTACCATGAACTAATTCACAGATCACCAAAAACAAATGAATTTTATGCATTATACCCTATTTTTGATCTACCCTGAAAATTTCATCAAATTCTAAAGTCTATCCATAACTTTTTATTTATTTATTTATTTATTATTATTATTTTTTTTTTTGATTAGGCCAGTGACAAAAAAAAAACAGACAAACTGAGATGAAAACACAATTCCTTGGTGGAGATAATGAGCATTATGGGTGTCTACATGGAATTTTCCACACTTTCTTCCTGTAATAATTCCAAGGTATAAAATACACATCCAAAACTACTGAAAAAATTTATGATGACCTATAAANTTTATTTATTTATTTATTTATTTATTTTTTTTTTTTTTGATTAGGCCAGTGACAAAAAAAAACAGACAAACTGAGATGAAAACACAATTCCTTGGTGGAGATAATGAGCATTATGGGTGTCTACATGGAATTTTCCACACTTTCTTCCTGTAATAATTCCAAGGTATAAAATACACATCCAAAACTACTGAAAAAATTTATGATGACCTATAAAGCCATGTTTAAGCTTTTATTTCCTATTTTTACCTTCAATTAAAGCTGTTTTCATTTTTTTTTTTTCAGTTTTAACTTTAAGAAATGAACTATATCAATAAGTTACAATTATCTTTTGAATTATAAATATTCATTATAAATCTAAGGTCATCAAGTAAAATGATGCTCACACAAACACATGCACATGTGAAAACCACCACCAAGTTGTCCTACCTTATCGCATCCCCACATATCCACAGCTTTGCGTATGGCTTTGGATGTCATGCTGATATGTCGTTCAATCTCTTCGTCCGTACAATTGGGAATGGTCTTCACGGTGTAGCCCTCGTACTCATCATAAACGTACACTGGTAACAGGCCGGCTATATCGGGGACCAGGACTCGCACTTTGCCTGGGGCTGGTGGATCTTTTGGCCAGGATGCCTATGACGATGAAAAAAAAATTAATATGCTTACATTATTAATAAAAATTAAAACCAAGATGGTAATGATGCAGGCTTTATAAAAAATACCACTGCTCTATCTCAATCATTCACTTGACTAATGATAATAAATAAATAAATTATTTATTTATTTTACTAAATAAATTTAGTAAGTAATAAATAAATAAACTAATTAAAAAATTATACTCAGTATATCTGTTGAGCAAAACCAATTGATCAAATTGAATTTTTTCATAATAATACCACTGTTAACACAACACTTCATACCTCAGATGTAAAAAACTCATCCACCCATTCGTAGGTTCCTGCCTGCGGGTCTTGGCAGAACACAGTAATTGCGTGGCCCTGTTTCTTCCACTGCATCGCCAGGTTACAGGAGTAGATATTCGATCCTGTCCCGCTAAGCAAGTACCCATGGACAACTATAATGTGTTTCCCCATATTGACTAAAATGAAACAAAACTTGAATATTATAATTGAACTGGCCTTCAGTAATATGATGCTGACTTTTCAAAACTTTTCTTTTGTTGAAGTTGAACATCCAATGCTAACTTGATATATGAGTCTACTTTCATTATTACAAAATAACACTGTACTACTTCTTTTTTTCATTATTTCATCATGTCATTATTAATAGTAAGGTAGGTCCTGTGGGGGGGGGGGGGGGGCACAGTGGGCAACACTTAGCTTGTGCCTTACCCTCTTTATTCTTCCTCAATGAATTAATACATAATAACAACGAAAAAGAGATGAAACCGAATTATTTAGTTTTCCCTATGCCCTACAAAAGACCAATTATTTGATCAATTGATTGATTGTTCCATGGGTTGGTTTATTGATCGATTGATTGATTTATTGATTGATTGCTTATTTAATGCCTTTGCCCCTACTCCCTTCAGCTAAGCCCTGAATCCTACACTGGCTCCAATGTTTCTTAATTGTATTAACTTCAACTGGATCAAAGGCTTTTTATTCTAGTCTGAAAAGGTCATTAACATTTGAATGTGAATAAATGGTCATTGAGTTGAATATGGTAATTACTTGAGATTTTCAAGAGCCAGGTACGATTCTACTAACCTAATTCTTCAAGATTTATCATTTTCAGACATTCACAACAGTATCAATATCTTATAACACAAAATCAACAGATTTTCAAATCATTTTTATTACTGACAGGGAGGGGGGACTTTGGACTTAACTTGTTTAAACTTTGGTGAAACTACTTGAGCTATATACCATGCTTCAAGTGTCTAGTCAAGGAGTTTAATGTGTGCCAGCATGCTATCACTGTGCTATATCTTTCTAATCTGAGACAAAGACAGACTCACAAGTACACTGGACTGACTGTACCTAGTTACAATGAATGGCCTTGGTCATTGAATGTCAAGTGTATACCCTATTTGTAGTGTACCAGACAATCAGGCGGTTGTATATTATTGGCTATATACATGTATATAGCTACTATGTATAGTATATACTGGTATATAGCCCTGACAATTAAGTGATAAGTCACGACCAGGGTCGCTGCCCACCCAGTTGAGAAATACACAGGGACAAATCCAGACGAAGAAATTTGTTTGAATTATCATAATGAAAAAAACACTTGATCTACTTATTTGTTTTTAATTCATTTTATTTATCTATTTTTATGAATTAATAGATATTTATACTCACTCTGGTTTAGGTTTCAGTTTTTTTTTAATTTGAAAATTAATTTCATTATGCTTTTAATTGCCTTCTTTATTGAAAACCTCTGCTCTATAACCACCTTGGCTTTATCAGCTGGTACCTGACTTTTACACGTAAGCATCAATAAACTAATTGAAATTAAATACTGGTACGTGAACATTTGTCATTTCGGGTGATCGGTTAGCTTCTCCAACCCCGAGAGATTAAAAAGATCAAAAAAAGTTTCAACCAAAACTGCATATAAACATCAAGGAATAAGACTGAGCTTTATCTAACGTCAGTAAAACAATTTATAGGTTTTTCATAACCCTAAGATGACACATACGCGTATAAATGTCACTTCAACTTTACCTGCAAGTTCGCCGGCTTACTCGTTCCTCGAGCTCTAGCGTTCTATACCTGTGGTTGACCTCTTGACCTCTCCCAAGACGATCCACATTATTATTCAACAAAAATAAAAAGTTTGTTTCTTGCATTTTTTAAATTTGTGATCAATTCTTTTATTGTAGTATAAATGAGTTAGGATATAAATAAAGGATGGTATGTTGTTTGGATATGAACAGTAACAAAAAGCTTGTCTTGTTCAAAGAAAAAGATAATGGCTGTCATACAGCGAGCTCTGTTTACGTGGTTCATGGCGTTAATTTTCCTCATTTTACTTGTTTTGAAGCTCGATGACAAGGTAGGGGATTTTTAATTCTTAGTTTTACTTTTTAAGATGAGTTTGCATTGCATCTATCGCGCCAGGACTCTCGCTTAACGCAATCAGGTTAACAGACTAACACGCCTCCACTCATTCCCAACGTACAAATATAATCATCAGCTTTTCTGTGTGCATTCTTCTCAACGCCGGGAGGTGTGTACACATGTACTAGTATCTATTACTACTAGTAGTAATAGTACATGTACATGTAGTTTGGTTGCATTCAGCAAGTGTCCCTGTGGATTAAGTTCGATAATATGAATGTTTTATTGTGAACACATACTTAGTCTTTGTAAAGTGTAAATGCACATGTAATGGTATATTGTTTTCATAATTTTATATTTTTAAATAAACGTCACAATTAAGATTACCTAATAATAATTCAGACAATGACTGAGTGTAAATGTTACGTTCTTGTCACAGATAAATTTGACATTTTTATGAAGCTTTATTATGGCACATAATTGTGGGGCAAATGTCTTTAACAAATAATCTGGCTAACTTAATTACTGGTGTCAGCTTCATGGAATTACATTCATACATTGCTATTTAATTTTTATTAACAAGACTATAAATTTATCTTATAAGGTGGATTGGAACTGGTTCATCATCTTCATTCCCATGTGGCTGTATGACATCGGAGTCGTCATTTACGTCTTTGTCACCATGGTGCGTCACTGTAAAAACCGCGCCTACCACGACCGAGGACTCGTTAGCATAAAAAGGCGGGCGTGGTACCTGACCTCGTTATTCATGAAACTCATCTTTGAAATTATACTGTGTCTGAGGTTCCAGTATGTTTCTTCGCTATCACTTTTTTATGTCATGATTCCGCTGTGGATATTACTAATTGGGTCAGTCGTAGATGTGGGGAAAAATGTCATAGGACAGTATCTGCCAGACAGGTCATCATGACACCAGATGGTGCTAGTGGACAGGATGACATTGTGAAACTAAAGGATCCTTGGTGCAGAACAAGGAGACTGTGACACTAGAGGGCCCTAGTGAACAAGACAGGATTTTGTGACACCAGGGCTCCATGCTACACAGGACAGTATTGTGAAACTACAGGGCCTTTGGTGCAGGACAAGGACACTTTGAAACTAAGGGGCGCTAGAGTGTTCAGGACAAGATACTACTAGTACATCACTGAGGGTCCTTACCACACAGGACATTATATTGTGACAACAGGGGTCCCTACTGTACAAGACAAGATGTGACACCAGAAGTCCCTACTATACAGGACAAGATGTGACACCAGAGGTCTCTACTACTAGTATACAGGACAAGATGTGACACCAGGGGTCCCTTCTGTACAGGACAAGATATGATACCAGAGGTCTCTACTGTACAGGACAAGACATACTGTCACCAGAGGGACCTAGCGTGCCCATTTGATCTATTCTGATGGATTGAAACATTTCCTGAGACACATGAATATTTCTGTTGCAACTGGAACACTGGTGACCATCATTTGACGGAAGAAGGCTTGTTAACTTATAACATGGTCTCTTTACAGTAAAGTTTAGAAAAAAATTAATGGCAGTAAACAAATGAAAGTTTTAAGGCCACAATCACCCAATTAAGTAAAAAGACTTCAGTTGAATAGCTTAAAAGGTGCTAGAGTGAGTCTTTTGGGAGTCTGTGGCTGAATCACTTGTTACTAATAAAAATAAAGTTGAGTCAAGAATAACATCATAGTTATTAATTGCAAATATGTCTTTTTTCCCCAATCGTTGAAAAAATGTACACACTGTTGAGTAAAAAAAAAAAAAGAAAAAACTTTCTATTTCATTTCCTGAATATCTTTGTAACCTGTTGTGCATAGTTAAAAATTGGCGGTGATTATGCTGTTAAACATTATTTAATAGTGACTAAAAACCCTATTTTGAACATTGCCACCATAAAGACCACTTATCGAAAACCGTGTTACTAATAATTTTCAAACTCCAAAGATTAATAGAGCTGATATACAGCTTGATTTAAAAAACAGGTTATCATTAATTGAATTTTTTTATTGAATAAAAAGCAACTTTTTGTGAAATTTTCTTTTTTTTTTACTTTAATTGACTTCTTATGTACAGACACATCTGTGTCTATATGTATGGCAGTCACCTGTGTCTGTTGTTGTTACGTCGCCATGCAATGTTAATGTTATACAAATAAAATGAAAATCATTTTACCTATGGTCTTCAAACTTTTAGAATTAACGAATATTCTTTAAATACAGGTCAAGTTCGAAAATCAGCCTGATCAGAACAATTACCAAAAGTTATGCTTTTTTCTGGCCTTTTTCAGCATATTTTATCTACCATTATACAAATAAAATGAAAACCAATTTTACTTTTTGTCTTCAAACTTACAGAAATGATGAATATTTATGAAATACAGGTCAAGTAAGAAAATCAGCCTGAGCAGGCCATTTTTCCAAAAGTAATGCTTTTTTTTTTCGCTTTTTTTCAACATATTTTATCCACCATCAAATAAATAAAAAGGAAAACCATGGCATATTTTGATTTGAAATTTGCAGATCTGATTCAAAGTTCTGATATCAAGTTCGAAAATTAGCTTCATTAGTTTATTTTTGTTGAATTTATACTGTTTTTTTTTTTTGTATATAAATGGGTTTTCCTCAGATTTAATTCTTAGGCATGTTCCTCATCTCAGATTGGAGCAAACTGAACATATTAACAATGTTTTATTAATATTTTTATGCTCTTAACAATTTGTAGTTGATCATCTAAAGATGAAAGTAAATTATGTATTATGTAATAAGTAAATTGTGTATTACGTAATAATTATTGCAATGAAAATAACACATTTCCAAAACGGTGTACATATAGGCATTTCCAGTCGCAAGGGCCTGTAGACCTTTGCTTGTCACAAATTTCTAGATACCTATGTTACCTTCAGTGCATAATTTGAAATTGATGGTGATTCCAAGCTGATAAGCATTATGTAACATTTCATCAAAATTGATAAAAATAGTTTGTGTATTGTCACTTCAAATGCTCTAAAAAGAAAGTTGTTACTTATTTTGTTAGAAGAATGACTGACATACAGCTCTGATTGGCAAACCAGCCTCATTGAATTTTTTTTCTTGTCTGTATATTTGATGCTTTGCTGCCTTATTCACTTTTTGCTAGTATATTCTTACAGGATATATTTTGTCCATACATTTGCATAGGAATTTTCTACTTAAAATAGTCTAGATTTGTGGTTGTGGAAAAAAGACGGACACAAAAAAAGATTTAGTCCTGTTTGAAATATTTAATTATTTTTGTTCTGAATATATTGATCAGAACTTTTAAGGGAAAACTTAAAAGTAGTCCATGCCATCTTTGCCAAGTAGTCCATGCTGTAACAGTATTTTTTTTCTTCTTGGGAATCTGTTCTACATTTTTATGAAAAATTCTGAAAAAAATGAAAAAAAAAATGCATTTTGTTAATATGCATGGCTTTCTGAACATTTTTCTATTTTGATTGAAGCAAGCCCAAATGACCACATAGTCAAAATAAAAATGAAGTTGCCCAACTTCTAATCTGTTCACACAAATCAAAAATTAAAACTGAATCAATAAGCGAAAAAAAAAAAAAACCTTATTTACTCTAAGAATCCTGTTCTTTTTGGTCACTTTTACTGGCTGGCTGGTCACTTTGGCTGTCCAGTTGGTCACTACTGCTAAATGGTGTTTCAGTTTCTGTCGCAGAGCCTGTTGTCTCTTCCAGAGTCAACTCGGTGCTGACCTGTTCTGAAATGTCCATTTCTTCCTCAGATTTCTTAACTTCATTACCTTTTCCTGAAATGATAAAAATATTTTACAACTGTCAAAAAAATTAAAGAACAAAACAAAACAAATATAACAAGTCAATGGTTCATTTTCATTTTCTACTGTGAATGAATCTTTACCTTTTCCATAATTCACTGAAGAATTAAAAAAATAAATTAATAATAATAATTATTATGACAATACTCTGCATCTGTAACTTTTTTTATTTTGTACTACACATAGGACAATTGCATCCAAAATGTTATCAGCGACTACACATCTAAAATGACCCTTTTAAATGACAGTTATATTCACAACAGGTCTGAACAAGACAAAAGGCACATTTCCATTGATTCTGGGTCCATCCAACTTTGGACACAATCAGACCACCTGTTGAACTAGTTAAGTACTGAATTAGGCCAACTACTCTTCAGTGGAAATCCGCCTTGCTTGAACCCTCCACTGGACAAGATAAATGTACCAGAGAAACTCCACTCATGCCTTAAATTACCACCAGTGTTATGGAATTTGTAATCTGGTCAATTAAGTCATATCCTGATGTGAACGCAACAAAGTCTATCTCAATATGGCTACACTGCAGAAATATAGTCTAAGACCCCATTCCCAGAGATTAGATCGATCCAACTAGATCGACCTAACTCCCTGGGGGTTCACGCTAAATAGCCAGCTGAGCAGGTATAAAAGTTAATTACCCCCTTACAGCTTGTAGTAGGCGGGACGGACATTTAAGCCGGATTATCTGACAGTTATCTAGTGAGACTCCCCACAGGGATAGATCAATCTAAAATCTACGGGAATGCACCCTAACATTATCCAGATGTGAAGCAACAGACCTAAGATTAGCTAAACGTAAGCCTGGTGTAAATACAGCTGCAAAAGTTTCTCATAAGTCTTACTCAATCATGATGAGAATGTTACAGAAAAAAGTTTGAGTCTAACTAAACCCTGGTGTGAACGTAGCAGAAGTAAGTCACCCTCAAGTCTAACTTGATCCTGATATGAACAGAGCATCTCACCTGTGATCCTGTCTACCGCTGCGATCCCCACAGAGACGGCCTGTTCTGGGTACAGCAAGGAGGCTGTCACGACCATAGCTGTAGTACCAAAGGCTGCCTTCCTCAGCACACCACCTATAGGAGAAATAAAAGGGAGGATAATGGGATCCAAACCACAGGCGAACCTTCTGAGGTCTGCAAATGTCTCTCTCTCTCTCTCTCTCACACGTGCACACACAAACACACACACACCGTTTCATGCTCTCTCTCTCATGCCATATCCCTTATTTACAACATATATTCATAAAAAAGCCACCGAGTTAAGCTTGTTTCCCTCCAAATACATACTTTTCAACTTTTCAAAGAAACAGAGAATATGTCACTGTACCATTTACCAACTGATTTAAACCAAAAGTGGAAGAAGATGTTAAAGTTTGACATTACAGATTGGAAATAAACTGCGGAACGGCCTTTAAAAGATCATACCTCTGTATCCTAGAGAGGCTCCTACCACTCCCGCTACCGCAATCATACCAGCATTTGCCTTGACTTCAGGATCCGACCTTATCTGTTCTATGAGGTCTGAAATGATTTTTTGCAAAGAGAAATAAATAAATAAATAAATAAATAAATAAATAAATACTGTCATTATCTTCAGGATCCACTGTATCTGTTCTATAAGATATATATATTCTATAATATCATTTAAGTACCATAACAGTGTCAACAATAATGACATAAAAAGTAAACAAACAACCATACTAGTAAATACTAGTAAATAAATGCACGATGTCTACCATACACTTTATTGCATTTGAAGCACAGTCAGGGCTGTGTTCCTGAATTTAAAGCATACAGAGATACTGGCTTTTTACAATATAAAACGGAATCAATCCTCAACACTCATAGGGACCATTCCCTGTAATCCTGTAATGGTCTCTCCGCCTCTCACCCACTTCCCCACATCCCTGTAGGGGATAAGTTAATAAATCTCGGCTCAATTCAACGGGTCGAGGGACGACACGTGGGGAGCCGTGTGAGAGGCAGAGAGACCATTACAGGATTAAGTGGTCTTCCTTTCATGTAGGTCCGCCATATTTTGGCCTAGCTAGCACTCAGCTCTTCTCGATCTGAATGGGGCCTTAAACCTACCTTCTGTGTGTGCCCTTGCTATCCCCCACTTGTCACTGATTTTCTCTATTATACTAACACCATCCTTATCCTAAAATAAGAAGAAACTTTAAGGTAGTCTTAGAAGAATTGATTGGTAATAAGCCTTTACATTCCAGGTATTACAGGGTCATTAATTGGGTGTTTTTAACAAATAAATAACAAAAATAAATAAATAAATAAGAATCACACTTTGGGCAGCTTCTTATGCAGAGACCAGAGTTGCTTCCACTTCATTACAGAATTTCATCTGGTTGCACTCATGAAACTGAATGCGTATCAAACAAAATGTCACTGGTGTTGGCATAAAAGACTGCATGCATTCATGCACATACACACACAAAAGTACACACATGCATTACTAACACGAAAATTCATGCATTAGCACTCCTATTGACGATTCTGATATGTAGCCTACTAGCTGTCTTAGCACAGCCAGTACATATCAAAATCGTCAATAGGAGTGCTAATGCATGAATTTTCGTGCTAATGCATTACATTCATACCCAAGCACACATATGCACTCACACATCTACATAAATGCACACACACTCACACACACGTACACACACACACACACACACACTACCCACCTTGAAAGGTTCTAAAGCTGATCTAATGGACAGTCTGGTAGATTTCAGAAACTTTGTCACTGGAGTTATCGTCTCTTCTATGTAATACTCCTTGTCACTTGCTCCCACTTCATAGAAGGCTAACTGTAATGTGATTTATGAATAAAGAGACTAGAAATCTTTTATCAAAGGCAAAGAAGATCTTAGATTTCAATATACTAGAAGGATGTGGAGCACTCAAAATGCAATGTGAGATAATGCCACACTGTCTTCCACACAATGCAAGTGACTGGCATTCATTGAAGGGAAACAATGCAATCAAGTTACATGATGACAAATGTTGCTTTTGTAATTCCTTTTCTTTTGTTATTTTTTCTTTTAATTATTTGTTTATAAATTTATTTATTTACTTTTGGTTTTATAATTCCCTTTTTTCTTTTATTATTTTTTCTTTCATTTACTTGTTTATAATTTATTTATTTATTTTTGGTGGGTGGGGGAGAAAAGGGTATGCCTCCATAGCTTAAGGGTACATGTGACCCAATGGACCCCACCCACCCACCCCCTTATTGGAACGAGAGAGAGAGAGAGAGAGAGAGAGAGAGACTTACTTGGTCTGGTTTTAATACAGTCGTTCTTTTCTCCTGTTTCTCTGTGAGTGTCTGTCCATACAATGTGATGCCACCCACAAGCGCTGTTCCCAGACCGCCTCCGATCAGAAGCTTATATTTTGCCATGGCAAAAACTTCTAATCTACTAAGAAAATTCAGAAAACATTTGTACAGTATGACAAAAGAGAATGTCACAAGTTTAAATTTTAGATTGAATTGCAGAGAATTAAAATATAACTCAGCACTCACTAATAATCTTTGCACTTACTTATAAATTATGTTTTGATGTCACTGTAATCTTGTGAGAAAAATTTATCAAATATTTTAAATAAATAAAAAGAAAAAAAAAAACAAAATTGTCATAAAAGAGTTTTGCTACTGGTATTTTGCCGGTAAATCATCAAATTTCTCATTCAAAGGCATTTATCGCTTCTGATCACAGTTCCTTTAAGACCAAATAAAATCACTGGTTTTTCATTTAAATTAATTAGGCAAATGCCCATTGCTAAAGGGTAAAATTGCAATAAATACAGAACTTACATGCTCAACTCCGACTCGACCTTCACCAAGAAGTTCACGTTCCGGAAGTCCTGTGGTAATACGTCTGCGCATGCGTTAAAAGGATATCGGCGCGACTTAAAAACGCCAGGACAGGTCAGATAATGGCGAAAACGCCAATACAGGCCACAGGCACGACAGGCCCGCCGTTTCTCCTGAAGCGAGGCAGTATTATATGCGCGATTTCCCTTAAGAGCGACTTAAAAGTCTTTGGACGAATTAATGATTGAATCCAGGAGCAGCTTGCTCAATGCGTCCTAGACTGAATATTGTTATTCCAAAAATACGGATCTTTTTGGGGACCGTAGGCCGAGAAAGAGATGCTCCGGAAGAAAGGGGGGGGGTGACTTAAATGACCGGGGACATCCCTTAAGTCAGTTGATCCAATGGGGTGGAATATGGTACCCTTTGAAGTCTGCTCAATTAATTGAATCAACTGTTAATTTAATTTAAAGAAAAGTCAAAAGCATTTCTTTTTAGAAAACTTTCATATTGGTTATATCTTTATTGTAACTGGTTTTATGTGAGAATAAGACTGCATTTTTTTTTTTTATTTTTTTTTTATTTATTTATTATTATTATTTTTTTTTTTTTGTAGAATCTGACTCTTTCTTTTAGACTTAAAATAAATTATCATAATTATTATTACTGCCTTGCATAGACCTACTGGTAGTTGGTTCTGCTCCTCCACATTGTTACCCCACCCCCCACCCCCCACCCCCACACACACACACAGACACACAGACAACGTTACTCCCAACTGCTAAAATGCATCATATGGAACATAAATTTTAACGAAAAACGCTTTTTTTATAGCCTAAAACGTTACATGCTTACAAGTGATACCTATAAATTACGCCTATCACCCCCCCCCCCCCCCTTTTTTTTTT